CACTAACACATGCACACATGAGTGTTATGGGTGGGGTTGTTGAGTGTGGCTTAATTCTTGCAGATCAGGACAAAAATAAAACCCATGAAGTTAGATTTCCCTCTATAAAATGAAAATTTGGCCGAACGAAAGAAACCCATTATACGGTAGTTGGAAACTTTCTACATGTACAAGTAGCAAAAGGACAACAATATGTATTAAAAAGTAGTGAAATTTGGAAGATACTTTTAAGCTACTTATTGAAAGAACCATAGGTTATCATCATAGCCTTTTCAAATTGGCTCATTTTTACTCAAAAAGTTTTAGTCCGAATTAGCTCAAGCATTCTACATAGTATGAGGACATCAATAATTATGTATCAGAAAATGTTTAAAAATTGGGGGTGATTTCGGAGCCATTTTTATATAGTGTTGTGTATTCTTCAAAATCACACTGCCCAAATGAGAGCAATACATGCATGTATATGTACATGTACATGTAGCAACAAGAACAGCTAGTTGTTAGTACATTGTAATGAACTGAGTCAGTTAATACAAATCATCAGTTAGGGATTCAGCCCCGAAAGATGGTTAATGATATAATGTTGTATCATCATTCTCAGTTAATACTTGATTTAAAAGAGATGGAATTAATCAGAGTAATACGCAGGGTTTCCTACAGAATTTTGGCATAATGCTCCTGCAGCTTCTTGTCAGTGGATTAAAAATTGAGCCAAACATCCTGTACTTTAGTACAGGAATTTTCGTCAAAATTTTGTCAAAATTGACTAAGAGAGAATTTTCCATTTTCATGATTTTTCTGATACATATATGTGTTCTTATAATGTGCTGAAAGTCCAAGTGATTCCAATCAAGTTTGAATTAGATTTTTTTGCAAATTTTAAAAGTTACTCAAAAAATTAGACCAAACTATGGCAAAATTTTGCCGAAAATGAAAATGAGAAAAATTTCCATTTTTATTATTTTTTCTGATACATATACATGTACATGTACTTACGTTGTGTAGAAAGTTTAGATAGTGTTTGGATTTTATACAAATTTTTAAAAGGTGGTAAAAATTGGGTTACAGTCCCTGTACTACATAAAAATGGCTCAAAAATATCCTCTATTGTTATTACATTTTCTGATACATATTGATGTACATGTATCGCGTGTACATGTTACATGTTATATTCATGTAGAAAGTTTTAATAACATACCTTATGCTGACAATCTTGTGATGTAGAAAGTCCGAGAGGTAGAGAGGTGTATGATCAATTCAATCCTGTGGGTCATGATATGGGCTTCAGTTTGAAAGGTCACCCGAACACACAAAGGTCAAATCAACCTCCTGAATACTTAGAAAATTTAAAATTATAATTTTACTAAAAACTTATTTTGTACCTGATTGACATGCAAAATTTGATTCAATATAGGCACTGACACTATCAACAGATTTTATTTTTATCTAAAAGTTCATGACATCATAATTACATCACACAGTATGTTACTAACTTTAGCTTCAATGCAACACCTGCTAAAATCATCTCCCTTGCAGCTTGTCTGTTTCAAGTGGGCGTGGCTCCTCGTAACTAATGGCAACAACTTCAACGAGCACCTTCTTTTTAAAAAAATTCTGAAACATCACCTACAAGATAGAGAGAGAGTGGTACTATACATTATTAAATTATTAAGTACTGTCTTGAAGTCAAAAAAAGTCAAGGAACAAAAGAACGAGAAGAAGTTCAAAGGACTGAAGAAGTCCAACACGTGGTCCAGCCAGTGCGGCAAGTCAATGTGCGCATGCTCATACCCACGTGGTATCATGTGTGGTACACACCCTATAACAGGGTGTGGTTTGGGTGTGGTCTATTAGGAGGCTAGGATTCAGAGTACTGATTGTACTTGTTTGTCTTTAACTCCATCAGCAATTCGGCATTCATTTTGGAGTTCCTATTGAAGCACAGAAACTAATATTTAAAGGTCAGTTATTAACGATTCTGTATACTGAATCTCACAGAGTTAATATGATACTGTACATGTACATGTACATGATATGTACATCGTAACTTTTAATGTTAATTTTGTTTTTGGATGCAGATTAATATCTTTTTAATGTAATTTTTGTAATGTACCATTTGTAGTATGCATTAAAACTGAGGGTCATTAAGTAGTCAGACTATAATACTGTATTAATTGTGCCAGGATGTTAATAATTATTAGTGAAATTGATTTGCTATAATACGTCCATTATGTAATGATAATCCAATGGGATTAAGTATGAGTCATTATTAAATAGGAAAGACTCTTAGGAAAGAAGATGAGTTAGTCAGTGAAGCAGGAATAAAGAATAATAGCAAAATAATGCTATTGGGAAGAAAGGTACATACATGTACATGTATGTCTGTATTTTGTAGCCTAAACTTAAATAACACTGTAAAAATACTTTTTATTTACAAATATCCATAGTCTTATGCTGTGTACGATCAAAAAAACCTGTCACTTGTATTAATTTAAAGTCAGCTATGAGGGTTTTTATTGCATATTTTTGCTGATCACAAGC